GGCCCTGACTCCCCAGCAATGCTACAGCTGGGGTGTACAATGACCACCATCCACCAAGAGGCAGGAAGTGGAATGCACCAAGATCAGGAACTACCCCAAACTGGAACAGACCCAAATGCAGGTTCCCAACAGAGCAGAACACATAACAGAAGGCAGGGGACAAGTCCTCACTGTGGCCACCACAGCACGTATGCAGACCTCACAAACATCACGCTACCCTTGGGGCACGACGGAGATGGGGTTCACTACATGGAAACGCTCTTGGGTTTGTTAGCAATGAGCCACACTGTACACCTGCAGAGCAGTTGGCTGGGACTAGATGCTACATAAACGTTTTTTGGCCAATGGGAAGAAAGCGATACAGCTTCAGGTTGACATGTTGGGCTAACCCACAATCAATGAGGAATCCTGGGCCCTGAGGCTCAAGAATGAGATGAAGCGCTGGAGAGAGGGCTCAGTGAGTGGTTAAGGGTGTTTATTGTTCTTGCAAAGGACTAGAGTTTGGACCCCAGCACCCCAGTCCAGTTCAAAAGGTTTTGGCGCCCTCTTCTGGACTCTTCAGGCACTGCACTCATGTGCAAATACCCTGCCCCCACACACACACATCATTTAAAAAAACACAAACCTTTTTTAAAAGAATGGGACGCAGTAGGCCTTGCATCCTGGATCATCTGGTGAAGAGCACATACTCTGCTGCCCTTCTGTCATCTCTCACATGTAATCTGGCATGGAAGTTTCTAGGCGGGCTAGTGAGGAGGCTCTTGATAAGCGTGTCTCGCCACAACCCCTCCCTTCCTCCCACTTGCCATCAGCTCCACACGGTCTGATTAGGTGGACAGCCCATGCTGGTCATGTGACATCACCTGTGAAAGGCACCCACAAGCCTGGACCTCCTCCCAGCAGAGGCCGGCATGCCTGCAACCCCGTCTCTGCCCACCAGGGAGGCGTGCCCTGAGTGTTCAAGGCCCCACTAGGGCAGCTTGCCAAGCAGAGCAGGTGCACCTAGATTCCTGAGGGCAGGTGGCCACTGGCTGGGCTCTGGCCCCTGGGAGCCCATAAACCCCTGGGAGCATTGCTGGTACTGCTGAAACCTGAGGAGCCCTGTCCCCTTCCTGCTGCTGGGGTGGAGGGGACAGGGCGTGGGGGAGCTCACCTAGGCTTCACTGCTTCTACACTGTGTGTCCTTATGCCAGCCACCTCCCTCCCTTGAGCCTCAGGTTTAGAATCTCTAAGCTGGGGTCTCCCTGGCACCTTACGATAGAGGAAATCCCTTGGAAAAGGGCAAGGTCACATGCTGAGCGGGTGTCCTGGGGCAATACTCGGGGTTGACCTCTAGCTTCCATATGTGCATTCACGTGCGTGTGTGTGTATGTGTGTGTGTGTGTGTGTCTGTGTCTGTGTCTGTGTCTGTGTGTGTGAACTACTCTGTTTAGCTACCTTGTGGTGGCTTGTCTCAGTTGTCAACTTGACTACATCTGGAACTAACTGAAACCCGAGCCGCCGGGCACATCTGTGAGGGGTTTCTCTTAATTAAAATTTGAAGCGGGAAGACCCACTTTCAATCTGGTCTTTTGGGGTGGGAGAGCCGCCTTTAATCTGGGCCACACCTTCTGCTGCGGCCTGTCTATACAAAGGGCATGGGAGAAGGACGCTTGCTCTCTCTGCCCGACTGCTCTCCTTTTTGCTGACAAGTCCATTCCTTCGCTGGCGCTGGAGTCTACTTCTTTGGGATTAAAGCAGGTAAAAGACCAGCAGAGACATCCGGCCTCGTGGACGGAACAACTACTGGATTCTCAGACTTTCCGCTTAGGAGGCGGCCATTGTTGGACAAGCTGGACCACAGCCTGTGAGACATTCCCATAAATCCCGTACACATACGCACGTATGAGATATCCATTCCTTAAATTCTGTTCCTCTAGGGAACCCTGACCAATACAGCCCCTCTCCTGCTACCAAGTGTCAGGCTCTCCACTTCGGCCCCAACGATATCATCTCACTCATCGCTGTCATCATCACCGTCATAATCACCACACTAAGTACATCTCAAGACCTTCGCCCTGCCTGACACCCTCCTGAGGCTTCTACAGGCTCCACCCGTACTCACTTCCTCAAAGAAGCCCTTGCTGATCACCCAGAAAGAAACAGTCCCCACAGTCCTCTCCCCAACTGCACCCTACCCCCCCACCCCCACCCCGCCCAGCTCCCTACACCGCTTTATTTTCTTTGCAGCCCTCGGTAACATCCAGAAGTCCCTTTTCTGAGCCTGGCTAGTGGTTAAATATTTGGTTCCCACACTGGGCACCAGCCCTAGAAGTGGCACATCTGCCTGGTCCACGACTGTCCCTGAACAGTCTGGAGGATGAAGGCTCCCAAACAAGTTCCGATGGGTAGATGAGTGGATTCAAACTCGGCCATCGCCCCGAGTGAGAAACTATTTGTTCCTCGTCTAGAAAGGAAAGCAATTTGAAGACAGAAACTAATTCATCCTCTTTCATGTCCTTGGAATTCCTCATCAATTAATAAATCAGGCAAGGTATATGGGTGGGCAGCGATGGACTGATGAATGAATGGGGGGATGGATGGATGGATGGATGGACGGACGGACGGGTGGGTAAATGGATGGACAGATAAACTGGCAGGTGGGTGGATGCATGCATGGCTTGGGTGGGTGATCGTTAGGAACACGGATGAACACCAAATGCCCCAAACACAACCTCTGGCACAGCTGGCAGCTACGTTCACCTCTAGCAGACAAATCTTGGCGTGGCTGGTTCAATCCAGAAATGAACTGTGACCAGCTGCAGTTCAAGTCCCCGGCCCTAGTCCTCCACACCCAGGAGTGAGAACGACAGGAGGCAGCTGATGCTGGTGGCTGCTGACCTCACGAGCCAGGGCTGCTCAGCCCCGCTACCACCGGCGTCCACCCTCATGTCCCTGCGTCCAGTCCATCACACGCAGGCCCACCCAGGCACAGCAGGTCACTGCAGGCTCCTGACTGCCGGTCCCCCCACTCCAGCCCGGCCTCACCTCTCTGAGCCCTGCTCCCCCAGCAGACTGGACCTTAAAGGCTGACTCATCCCCAGACATCACCCAGCACCCCCTGCACGACAGACCCCAAGCGGGAGTTTCTGTACTTTGAAATCACACAGGCTTGGCACACAGTGAAGAAATGAACACACGGCTAAATAAACTAGGAAGTGCCGGCTTGCATTTGGTCATGAGGAAGCCACTCTTGGACTTTCCAGAGGTCCGTGCCACTGTGAGAACCCCATAACCCCACAGGAGGGCCTGCTGAGTAAATTGTGCCCGAGGTCAGGGTCCACACTGAGTCACCATGTTCTACAGTCTCTAGGAGACCATAAGCCATGGGCAGAAGGGTGTCCACACCTATGGGAGGATGCACCACAGGACCAGGAGAAGACCTTTCCCCTCCCAGGCCTCAGTGGAACTCCTAAGACAGGAGGAGAAACTGAGTCCCCAGAGTCCACAGTGGCTGAAGCTGGTTCGGCACTGCTGCCCCCTTGTGGCTGCTTCCTAACACTGCAGGCATGAGACCAGAGAGATCCCAGTCCTCCAGGGTTGAGTTCCCGCCCTTCCCTCTGCAGGAGAGGAAGTCCCACAGGCCTCAGGCCAGGTACAGGTGTCTCAGAGCCAGACAGAGGAGCCAAGGCAAGCCACCCAGGCCTCCTGAGACAAAGGCTCTCCAAAGACACAGAGGAAAGAGGAGGAGCCCGCAGCCAGGGAGGTCTCCTGCAGGCCAGGGGCTATAAACAGCTTCCAGACCTTTTCTCCCTGTAACCTTTGCCTTCATGGGCACACAGAAGTTCACACTGGATCAGATAAGGGAGGCGGTGCCCGCCTGAGAGGGACTAGAGACAAGGGTATCCGAGGAAGGGAACCTTCAGCGAAGGTCAAGTGTCACATGCCTGTAAGGCTGCCACGGGCATCTGGGCACCAGGGAAACTCCCAGGGCCACTCTGCAGACATCCCAGCCGGCCTGAGACCGGCATCCCCCAGACCCTGTTACTCCACCACTACAATAGCAGCAAATACCCCCATTTTACAGCTGAGGAAACCCACACTCTGAGAAGGGAAGTCTCTCCCTAGACCATAGGCGTGGGAGGGTATGTAAGGCAGAACTCACGTCACCCCGGTCAACAGCCACCCTGGGCCGTGCCTACAAGGGACCTTCCAAGCAGAGAAAGAACTCAGTCCATTTACAGACAGCACAGAAATCAACAAAATCACCACAAGAGCCTGAGTCCGGCCTCTCATGGGTACTCTGTGGCTCCCAGGGTCAGAAGTTTCCCAAGAAACATGGTCCTTTCCTCAAGTCCTTCCTAAGCCAGTGTGAAGGCCGAGAGAGGAAGGGATGGTCACAGACGCAGCCTGCAGTCAGGCAGTGTGGTGGCGTGTCTGTGACAGGGCAAAGCCCCTCCTGGGTCACCTCCCTAGAGCCCACACCGGCCACGTGAAGCGGGGGTTCTCATCTCCCTGCTGTATAGACAGAGCACACATGTGTAAGGTGATCGCGGCCCCCCAAGTCTGGAACCGGCTTGCTATAGCCTCCTGAGGTCCCTCATGGGGTGCATTTTCTCTGGCCTGGCTCCCTCAGGATTCAACTCCATTCTCAAACCAGCGCTGACACAGGGATCGCTGACGCAGCTTTCCCCCACGGCGGAAATCAAAGGTCGCAGACACCAAACTCAGAAATCTCACGGCTGTTGAAAAGACATAGTGCTGTGACTCGAACCCAAGACTTTCACTGGCCAGCTGCTGAGTTACAGCCCCACCTAGCGCCCAAAACCCGAAAGCAGCGAGGGTCTCCCCAGCACACAGGGTCTGGGAACCCAACTCTCAGCCGGTCACCCAGGGTCTGGGAACCCAACTCTCAGCCGGTCACCCATTCGCCAGGCGCCCATCCACCTGAACCCTCCACATGCATCCACAGAATCTTCCAACACAAGACGACGCCTGCGGGTTCCTCGCCAGCCACTCACCACAAAGGGACCGCTCCTCTTGTCCTTGCAAAAGCTGTGACTTCGCCTGGGGACAGAGGCCACGGGGGACACCTTCCGGAGAGGCTGCTGGCCGTCCTGCAGACCTTCCCCCTGCTCCGGGTTCTGCAGAGGCACCTGAGATACAGAGCACAAGAAAGGAGTTTCCGTGGGAGCCTCTCACCGACGGGACAGGTGTGTCACAGCCCTTTCCGGGGATGAACACCAAACCACCAGGAACCCCCCACCATCGTGGTCATTGGTAACATCCGGGTAGCAGGTCTTGGGCCCAAGTAGCCCCGCTTCACAGCTGTGTGACCTCCAGCAATCCCTTAGCCTCTCTGACCTCAACCATGGGGTCGGGGGGGGGGGGGGGGGGGGGGGGCGGAGAAACAGTATCAACAGCTTCAAGGGAAAACAGAAATGAAGCGCTTGCTCAGAACCTGCGCGACACGGTCCAGCCACCAGGGGGCAGGTGTGCCTGGCTCGTGTGCCCGGCCCCCTGGGCCTCCGGCTCGTTAGCCCCGTCATGGCCCAGGGCGATCCTGTGGTCCTAGCTTGAACCTCTTTCCCAGCACCCAAACGCGTGCCCTGAGAAACAGCAGGGAGAGGGAAAACCCGAGGGCACGGAGTCTGAATCCTGCCATGTTTTCGTCCCGGCTACACACCGGGGAACCCATCGCAGCCCAGCGAACCCGGGAGTCCAGGAGATGTTACATGCCGCACACTCTACACAGATAAGCCAGGAGGCCCAGAGAGGGCAGGCTCCCGGTTAGCGACACACAGCATCGGGAAGAGCAAGGCTGCCTCCTAGCCCCTTTCCTCTCATCCCTGGTCCTGACTCTTCAGCCACCCCTCTAGCTTGCCGTCTCTTCCTGGCTACCTTCGCGCATCCCCTGAACACCCTAGTCCTGCCCTGAGCCTTCTCCTCGGTGGCGTCCTTTCTGCTGGGTTCCTTCCCATGCCCCCGTGGTATTAGAAAAATCCCACCCACGTTTCAGTTCAGCCCGCCGGTGCTGGGACCCAGTCTGGACGGCCAATCTAGACTACGGTGTCCAGAACCCCAGCACCCGATGAGAAGTGTAAACTGCACTGAACCAGATGAGGAACTGGCTAAGAATTTCCAGGCTGATACATTTGTATCTGCCAACAGAGCCTTGGTCCTGAAGTCGACGGGCTCCCGGGGCAGCAGCGGACATGAAGGCGACTTACTGAAGGAAGCCCTGAGGGAGATCACACATCCGACTCTTTTACCAGCCAAAAGTTAATTCACCATAAAATTAGCTAAATTCCTGTACACCCCCCCCCCCCAAAAAAAAGACAAAAACCAACAAAGCAAACTTCACACCCTGGTCCAAAACTAACTCAAAAGAGAACAGAGATCTTAATGGAGAAGCTGAAAGTAGACAACTTAGATGGCAACAAAGACACCGATCTCCACAGCCTTGTATTAGCCCCTGCTTTCCAAGCTACCACACAGAAAACACAGTAACAAAACAGAAAAGGACTCGGTCAACCTGAAAAACCGTGCGCTTAAAGGGCACCATGAAGAAAGGGAAGCATCCGCTCCCGGGAAGGAAGAGAGATTCTGCAAATCGTCTGTCTTGTACTCACAACATATAAAGAGCAACAGCAACTCAACAACAAGGAAGCAACTCCATGGAAAATGGAGCGGGACCCAAACAGTCATTACTCCACAGAATGATGCCAACAGCCAAGCGCAGGAGCCACAGAGCTGCAGGAGCAGAGAGCCGCGGCCACCAAGTCGTTGGCCATCAAGTCCTCCACTTGGCCAGAGGACGGGCCAATGAGGAGGAGGAATTCCTGTGGGTGACCACATGGACTGTGTCTGCATGTGCTGCAAGCTGCTGCACTATGCCCTGGAATGGCAAAATTGTGACGCAGCTGCATCTCGAGGCGGAAAGAACCCTGATGAAACACACCCTCCGCCGAGGTGCCCTGAGTCCCCAGGACAAGCCCACCTGTGCCGGGTGTCTCCACCGTAACTCCCACCGTCTCCCCAGGTCCTGGCTGGCCTAGCTCTCTCAGGTCGCTCCCTTCCAGTCTGTTCCCCAACCTCCCGGTGCCCCCCTTCTGTCTGCCAGGCTCCGGGTGACCTCGCTCGCTCACTGGCTTCAGGCTGCTTGTACCTGTTCAGCCACCAGAATGTTCTGTGGGCCCAACACAGCCACGCGAGCTTGAACGTGGCCAGGGCGACAGAGGAATTAGATCTGATCTCATTTAAACCAAATAACCCACAAACAGCACCTGCCACGCCACCTGAGAGCGAGGAGCTTCAAATACGGGTTCTTCTCTCCCTCTGCTGCCATCCTCCTGCCTCAGCCACCAGAATACTGGTACAACAGGCATGCCTCACCACACCTGGCTAGAACATTCGTTTTTTTATAACTGAATAATACTCCACCATAGGGCTATGCCACATTTTGTCTTCCCAAGGACCTTTCCCGAGACACACACAGCCCAGGCTGGAACTCTGGACGACCGGGGCACATGTCATCATGCCTGGCCAGCACGTCTATCACATGTTGGTCTATGAACAGAGAGCAGGACATGAACACCGTGCACAGAAGCCCAGGCTCTAAAAAGCATCACATGACTTTTTAAATGTGCATTTATTATGACTATGCGGGTGTGACACAGAGAGGGCAGGAGCATGTGTACCACGCACGGGCCCGGGTGGAGGTCATGAGTCCGTTCTCTCCTCCTATCTTTACAAGGGTCGCAAGGATCAAATCCAGGTCACCAGGCTTATAAGGAAGCACCTCTACCCTCTGAGTCACCTCACCAGCCCCTTTTTATTTTTACGTTTATTTTCAGGTTGGAGCTGGTGCCATGGGGAAGTCAGAGCAGAGCTTTGGACAGTCCGTTCTCACCTTCTATCAAGGGGAATTGAACGTGGGTCCTCCGGCTTGCCCACACCGTATGGCTGTGGGGCCAGCAGCGTTCTCATCCCCACACCTAAGGGACCTTCCAAAGTTACCCAGGAGTCAGACCCCACCCTAGAGATTTCAGCCTAACTGGTCTGGGATGGGGCCGGGCCTGGGTGCCATGCTGGATTCTCTGCTTTGTAGCCAGCTGTCACCAAGGGTCAAAACCCTCTCGCCCACAGGCAGGGACGTGGGGGGGACAACGACACGTGGACTAAGCATCCTTATCCCTATGGTCTCTAAAAGCAGTTGCCAAAGAACTGGGTGGGCCTGTAAAAGAAGCCAAGCCATTCCTAGGGGTGGAGGGAAACGATGCTGCTGGGGAGGGGGGAGCTGGGGAGGGGGGGGGAGCTGCGGAGGGGGGAGCTGGGGAGGGGGGAGCTGCGGAGGGGGGAGCTGCGGAGGGGGAGCTGGGGAGGGGGGAGCTGGGGAGGGGGAGCTGGGGAGGGGGGAGCTGGGGAGGGGGGAGCTGCGGAGGGGGAGCTGCGGAGGGGGGAGCTGCGGAGGGGGGAGCTGGGGAGGGGGGAGCTGGGGAGGGGGGAGCTGGGGAGGGGGGAGCTGGGGTTCAGCATGTATCTCCTGAACGCATACCGTGGGCCAAATCAAACCACTAAAGTACATGAAATACTATCACCTGGCCCGGGACAGAATTTTCATAAATGTTTGTTAAGTAAAAAAGAAAGAGTTGGGCTTGGTGGTGCAGGCCAGTAACCTCAACTGCAGAAGGGGAGGGGAGGGGAGGGGGAGGGGAGGGCAGGGGAGGGGGAGGGGAGGGGAGGGGAGAGAGGGAGGGGGAGGGAGAGAGGGGAGGGGAGGGAGAGAGGGGAGGGGGAGGGAGAGAGGGGAGGGGAGGGAGAGAGGGGAGGGGAGGGAGAGAGGGGAGGGGAGGGGGAGGGGAGGGGAGGGCCCTGAGGCAGGAGCATTGCAAATTCAATTCTTGCTGGCAAAGGAATGAGTAAAGGCCAGCCTAAGGAATAGACTCGTCCTGTGTCAAAATAAAAAAATAACTCACTGGTAGATGCTCACCCAGTGCACAGGGGGCCCCAGGCCCTGGGTTCAATCCCCAGTACCGCCAGGGAGGGAGAGAGAGAAGGGAAAAGGCAGGGAGGGGACGGAGGGAAGGGAGGGAGGGAGGGAGGGGGGACCACTGTCCTTCTAACCAATCCTTTGGTGGATTCAGAGTGGCCCACCAGAGTGGCGGAGCGCGGATACCGGAAGTCCTGTTACAGTGACGTGCTGAACCACTTCAGTCATTGTGAGGAGTGACTGTGACTCTGCTCTGAGCACCCCTTTCTTAGCCCTTGTGCTTGGGCCTATAGTCAAATATCGTTACCCAACCACCCCAAAGTGTAAGAGTCCCCCAGAACGCTGGATGTTTCAGACTAACTATATCCGCCATGTTCCCTGGTTCCCTGTAGATGAAGTTCACCTACAGCAGGGTGAAATGGAACCTGGCTCACTCTGCATGGGGCCACCCTGCTCCCTGGGGGGTTCTAAATGGAAGCTCTGACTTCTGCCTAAATGACAGAGACAGCCCGTCCGTCCCCAGAGTGACAACAAAATGTCCCCAAAGGACTAGGGATGTAGGCTCCCTTGCCTAGCAGCCAAAGGTGTCCTGGGGGCATGACTCGCAGGCCAGGAGAGGCCACGCAGCTGCATACATGGCTAGAACCCAGGGCCCTCACGAATGTGCCAGGCAAGCGCTGAGCCACCCCCAGGCCTTTTCTGCTTTTCCTTTTGAAACAGGGTCTCACTAAATCACCAGGGCTGACTTTGAACTCCTTCTGCAGCCCAGTTGGACCTGAACTTCCGATTCCCCTGCCTCAGCTTCCTGGGTAGCTGGGGTTATGTGTCTATACCTCAAGGCCTGGAAGGTAAAAGTTCTGTGTGGGAGGAGGTGGGGACTCACTTCCTACACCCCACGTTCCCCTGATGGCTGAAATTTTGCCTACGCTCCCAAGAGAAATATGCCACCTTCGTGTGTTGTATGTGTTACGTGTGTATGTGGGGTGGGGCTGTGTGTTTGGCGTGTGTGTACACACCCATGGAATATTCCTTCCTCCTGAGACACACAGTGGAGTCCCGAGGCCACAAACATCCCGCTCTCCCCTCTGCCCCTGTAAGGCTTGTCTATTTTAACGTTTTGAGCACCTCTGTGGCTTTTTGTCTTCACGCATTTGCTTGATTTTATTGTTTACGATCAAGAACCAGAGTGAGGCGGGCGAGCACAGGTAAGGGGCAGGACTTGAAGGACAGACCCTGACCCCTGAAACAAAAAAAAAAAAACAAAGGCCTTCCAGGCAGGAGAAAATCAGGAAGGGAGAAGCAGGAAGCTGGCCTCTCCATCCCTCAGCCTTGAGAAAGCCGATCCCTGGCAACCAGGCCTCCTGGGGCCTGGGCACTCACAGGGCCTGCTTCCAGGGCCCCTCCACAGCCCTGGCTCTCCTGTTGCCAGTGGGACCTGAAGTGCTGAGCAAGTGTCACATTCCACAGCTCGTCCCCTCAGGCTGCTCCCACAGTAACAGAGGACCAGTGAGCTGGGTGAGCCCCTCACAGGAGCGTGTAGCCTGCCGCAGCTCCCCACAGCAGGACTTCAAGGCGGAGGGGGTGGGGGCTGCCATCAGTCCTGAGTGGTGTGGGCACCGGGGAGCCCCAGAGGCTAGTATGGAAAGTTCCACACACGGCACTTAGTAAGCCTGAGCTCTTGGGAGAGACACAGGTTTGAAGCCATATCCACCTCGCTCCTCACCATAACTCAGGAAGATCCTCAAGGCCTGGCCTCCACCCACATGCCTTACAGTTCCCTTTGCGCAGCACCCCTGCCAGGCTAGACCCCTGGGTTCCTCTCCCACAGGTTTGGGGATGAGTAACTGTCTGCTGCTCTACTTTGAAAACAACGCGACCTGAAACTCCAGGATAATGTGGAAGGAAACGCTAGGAGGGAGCCAGCCACAGGAAATGAGTCTCTCTTCTTCAGAGAGTGCCAGCCTGTGGCAGTTCTGTTGGAGGCTAGGCTGCTGCCTCCTGCTGAATCACGAAACAATGGCTCACTCCAGCCTCCAGACCTCTGTCCCTGCTGTGACTATCCCAGCACACCCCCTTTGCCTGCTCACCCATCAGTGTCTCCTCGGGGACTGGCTGAATTCAATGCCTCCCTCCTCCAGGATGCCTTCCTGGGTCTCTCCTCCAGCACCTCATTGAGCATCATGTAACTTCCTGGCCCTGGGTTCCAGGTCCCCATGACCCAGCTAAGGGCTGCGCTGGGCTCCAGACTTCCTCCCCGCTTAGACCACAGTGGCCATCATCTCACAGGCATCCGGCCAGATGTGGGCTCAAGCATCTTTGCCTTTTGCTGTGTGGCCTGTAACAGGTGACTCAGACTTTCTGTTTCCGTGTTTTTGCGTTATATTACCTACTTTACACCTGGAGCAGACCTTGACAGCTCCCTGAGACTCAGGATGGGAATTGGTGCAAAGCTGTCCTACTGCGCGCAGAGACAGCCTTGCCGTCCGATCGGAACGGTGAAGCCTCACATTCAAAGCCCCAGACACAGGCGTAGAGGACAATGTGGGAAGAAGGAGAAAATCCACACTTCTGGCCCTCTGACCCTGGACCAGGTCAACTCACTTGTGTTACGGGGTTCACAGAGGTTCCCAGGGGTACCAAGTCTCAGTTGCTCACACTGGCATCAAATTCCTCGCCACCTTCCCAGTCCCCAGCCAGTCTCTCAGGTCACCACTTAAGACAGGCTCTGCCCCTGGGGGAACCCAAAGCTGGGGTGAGCCGTCTCATAAGACCCAGTGGGCTTCTCACAACCGTTCACTCACACGCCACAGGTCTTCCCGGAAGCTCACACAGTTGTTGCTGGCTCTCGTGAAGATGATGGGGGAAGCTGGAGCACCGAGCAGGTGCTCCACGATGCTCACACAAAACATTCACACTCGTCCCCATCCCAGGCAGAGTTTTGAACCCACAACCCGCGGCCAAGCAGACGGAGCAGGGGACTAGCTTGGGTGGGAGGGAGTGACATTTTCTAACAAACCATCTTGTTTCTGAGGGAAATCCACCTGGAAACGTGGACTTCTCTGAGTAAATGATGTCACTTTCTCAACACTGTCACGGGACAAGATGGCCAGGGGCTGGGGCCGGGGCCGGGGCCGGGGCCGGCTAAGTACTAGCCCCGCCCAGTAAAAGAAGCAAAGTGGGGAGAAGATAAAGAAAGAGAAAACAGAAAATCTGAAGAGTCTGGAGGCAAGCACACCTTCCTGTCCTGGTGGTCTGCCTGAGTGCTCTGTTCCCACAGTCTCCACCACTCCCTAGAGTGGTGCCCTGGGTCTGCCTCCACCCAGCCACACAACTACACATAAAATCTGAGCTTGAGACCCTAGATACAGACGCTTAAACAACATTAAAAATTAAAATGACAAAATTTAAAAAGCGCCCGCGGACTCACCTTAGGACCACCCGGCTTCCTTGCCTCCTTCTGGCAGGGTCCTGCTGTGGCCTTGGGAGTCTGAGTGGGGAGACCCGGCTTCTCCCTGAGCTCTTCTTGTCTCCGCTGCCTGGCGTCCTGCATGACAGACAGGCCCTCCCGGACCCTGGCTGGTGGGCCCTTCTCTGAGCAGGCCCTCTTGATGTCCAGGGGTGACCAAGTACAGTCACGTGGGGGGGTTCCCCACTGCACCCCACTGCCCTCCACTCCCTGACCCGTGGACCTCTTTGGCGTCCCTTTCTTCCGGTCGGAGGGAGGTGACCTGGGGGAGATTCTGTCCCCGATGGCGATGCCCGGTTCCTGGGACTTGGCTGGGCCTTGTCTATACTTTGCCTCCTGGTACTCACTGGAGGAGGGCCTGCTCTCAAACTCAGCGATGCCCGAGGACTTTCTCCTGGAGCCAGCGGGGACAGGGGAGGGACAGCTTTCCACAGGAGCCGAGTGTGGCGGTGCCCACAGTGGTAGACCGGACTTGGTGGTCACGGCTGCCCCTAGGGGCTCTGCTGGCTGTTTGCTGGGGCCAGGGGACGGCGGAGTTTTCACAGAGGCTTGTTTCCCAACACTGTCTAACCGGGGAGCTTCCTTCAGGCTCCTCCGCCCCCACTCCGCCTCCTTGGGCCAACCTGATCTCTCCTGAGGGGAGCCACTGGGCTCGGCAGGACTGTCCCTCTGCTCCTGGGCCTTGCTGGGGGTTCTGTTTGACTGCTCTTTGTACTCGGCCATCAGGGCATCAATGTCAAGGACGCCAGACCTGTAGCCATCTCTCATCTTCCCTGGGAAGGTCTCACTGATCACTTCTGTCCTCCTTCTGACCAGGAGACTTTTGGGGCGCCTCAGGACCGGGGAAGTCTGTGGGGCGTCCATGCCTGAGGATGCCCTGATCCTGCCATCCTTCCAAGTGCCTTCTTCTGACCCTCGATGCAGCCACAGAGCGTCCACATCAACGACTCTGTCCCTGGCAGGATCCAGCTTCCTGTCCTCGGCAGACGATGCCTGATCCGTGGCCTTCGGGTGCTTTGAAAGGCTCTTTACTTCTTCGTACTCTCTCCCCTTAGTCCAGCCCTTACTGCTGGCCGGAGCCCGTGGCTCTTCGTGGCTAGGAGAAGCCAGAGTAGACACAAAAGAACGAGGTGACAGAGGGGGAGCCGGTCTTCTAGAAGAACATTCCGACACATTTTCAGGCCCTGGCTTAACAATACTCTTGGCCTTCTGAATGTCAGGAATCTGATAGGTCACCGCAAAGAAAGTTGCACTGGGTTCAGCAGACGGCCCCGGCTTCTCCACCGGAGAAGCCCTACTGTGTGAGGCACCTGGAGTCACCTCCCGAGTTTGTGCCTGGAGGTGGGACAATGGAGGTCTCGTTAAGGCACAGGTTGGGGAGGTCACATCATCTGCAGGTCTCTGCTGCCTTCTGGAGGTGCTCTCTGGCGTGAGCAGGCTGAATGCATCAAACTTTACATCATGGGGCAGAGTCCGCCGTCTCCACCTGTCCATCCTCGGCTCCGAAGGGTTGGACCTCCGCATTCTGACTTCAGGCTGGAATGCCTGGGCCAGCCTTGGGCTATCCTCACCGCCGACCATGAGGGGACCTTTCTGCAGAGGCAATGAGTTGGGCCTCGCCTGTACTTGGGAGTCACCGGGCTCCACGGTGGCCCTGGATGGAGGATGTGAAGAGCCATCCCAGGATGGACCCCTGTGGGGAGCACTGAGATCTTTGCCGGCCACGGAGGTGCTCTGCCAGCTGGCCGCCACTCCTCCCGTCCATTTGGATGACGGGCAGCTGCTCCCAAACCCATCCCTTGGCTGTTGACCATCAAGCTTTGGCCCACTGGCCTCCTGACCCCGAGCTTCCCATATTGAACTTGCCCTCTGCACGGCACCCCCATGAGCCTGCTGAGCACACTCCACGTGAGTAGGGTCGACCTCCTGGGACAGCTGCCGGCCCTGCAGCGAGAGCCGGGGTCTGCCACTGCGTAGCGTCACCGCCTTCTCCTCGGGCACCCTGGAAACAGCTTCGCTGTGCGCCCGCTCCCCGGAGGTATGCACAATGTCATACTTGGGCTGGATCCTCTGGGACACAGGGGGGCTTTCTAGATGCCTCAGGACAGAGTGACTGCCGTGCCCTTCTCCCACGGGGGTGTGGTGTCTCAGGGACAGAGGTGGGATGCTGTCTCGGCTCCACCTCCACAAGGACAGCTCGTCCCAGCATCCCCGGGTCAGCATGGTCGGACCACCTGGAGTTGTCTCTCTTGTTTATAACCCCTAGAGGGTCCTTCCCCAGCCAATAGCCTTTCTCAGGCCTGGGTTTGGGATCCGGGACGCCAGCCACATCATGAGAGGGCGCAGGCGAGAGACAATGGCCTGCCTGGTCAACCACTGTGTGTCTCTCCACGTGATGCTCAAACACTGTGGCCCACACCTTCTGGAAGCTTCCATCATCCTCTGGACTGACTTCAGAAGGACCCGGGTCTCCTGTTGAGTGTGCACGCCGACACCTGTCAGGGTCCTGGTCAGAAGCATCTTTGGGTTCTGTCTGCCTGGACTTCTGGGGCACCCCAGGCTTCCAGGGACTTTTTGCGGCGGGGGCTCCATCCAAACCGCGCCCTTCCTTAGGCTGAAAAATAACCGAAGACAGCGTGAGGGTTTGAAACGGACAGGAAGTGGAGAGGCGAACGAAGTGGCTGCCCTGTTAAAGGAGCAAGGTGCCTTCCAGACGGCTCAACCCGGAGAGACACCTGCCACCTGGCCTGGTGACCCGAGTTCTGTCCCTAGAGCCAAAGCTGGGAGAGCAGACTCCGCAAAGGAGCCTCTGACCACACGCAGTGGCACGAGTATCCCCCTTCCACACCGTAATAAAAACAAGTGAGATGTTGTTTAGTTAATTAAGAAACAGCAAGACACTATAAAATGTGTGTGTTGTGGGGACACACTCACACGTGCACACACGCACACACACGCATGGAGACCAAAGGTCAAGGGCAGTGTCTTCTCCAGGTGTCGACCTCATTTAACAAGCTCTGTCACTGAACCCGGGGCTCACCGACTCAGCCAGGCTGGCCGGCCAACAAGCCCCAGGGATCTCTCTGCCTCCACAGCCTCAGCTCTAGAATTGCGGGTGTACTGCTGCACTCGGCTTTTTCACGGGTGTGGGATTCGAACTCGGGTCCCCAGGCGCGCACAGCAAACACTACATCCGCTGAGCCATCTCCCATCCTTAAGATACTAAAGGCTGAAGAGTGTGGGTGGGGTAGACAAACGGGTGTCTCAGACACTGCGGGGACAATGGAGGGGGTGACTGAGATGATGCTGCCGGTTATTGTCACTGACCGATTTGGGTTTTGCTAAGTATCCCAGGCTGCACCATCATGCTTCTCATTTTGTTATTCTAACACAATTTTAAAAAAAAATCATCAAACAGTATCTCTTATAGAGATGATCCCTGGTTGTATGTAGGCTTATTAGCTTTTTCTTTCTTGAGGTGTTTTTGGGTTTTTTTTGTTTTGTTTTTTTTTGGGGGGGGTGGGGTGGGTTGAGACAGGGTTTCTCTCTGTCGTTTTGGTGCCTGTCCTGGATCTTGCTCTGTAGACCAGGCTGGCCTCGAACTCACAGAGATTCGCCTGGCTCTGCCTCCCAAGTGCTGGGATCAAAGGTGTGCACCACCACCATCCAGCTCTTGAGTGTTTTTGAATAGTCAACATTTACAGAGAAACTGAGCGTCCCTCAAGCCAAGTCCTGAGATTTAAGGACAGTCCGTACCAGTCCCAGCCAGAGACCCTTGCTGTACTGCTGCGGCCTCTGTGGTCCCATCAAGACGGTTATCACTGCCCTTCTGAGCCAGCTTCTTTCCTTGGGTACTCACTGAGAGGGACACAGAGAGCCTCGGAGAAGCTCTCGGTCTATTATTCAGAGACAGCAGACATCCCTTTGACACAGCTGCATGGCCCAGCCAGGCCACTCCTGGCCATTGACCCGAGAGAAATAAAAGCAAATTGTGCTAGGGATGCAGATCAGTTAGCAGAGTCCCTGCCAAGACCCACAAAGCCCCGGGCTCCGTGTCCAGCAAGGCACACACCTGGGTATGGTGACGCACACCTGTGATCCTAGCCCTCGAGAGCTAGGGGCTCTCAAGAAATACAAGGTCTCAGCTACAGCCAGGTTGAGGTCAGCCTGAGCTACATGAGACCACATCTCAGAGGGGGCAGGGAAGGAGAGGGAGAAACTTACAGACGTGTTCATTAATGTCCACAGCAGCTTCATTTCTTTTTGTTTGTTTGTTTTGGTGTATGTGTGTGTGTGTGTGTGTGTGTGTGTGTGTGTGTGTGTGTGTGTGTGTGTGTGTGTGTAAGCTGGCCTGGAACTCACAACCCTCCTGCCTCAGCCTCCTGGGCACTGGGCTAACAGACAGGTACCACACCACACCCCGGCATAGCTTCATTTCTAATGGCTCAAACTGAAAACCATTCCAGTGCCAGCCAAAGAGGACAGCAAAAAAGCAGCCCGCTGTGGTCCTGCCTCCGGGACAGAACACAACCCAGTGATAAAAACTACGACGACCTGACCAATCTCGGAGCGATGACTGAGTGAAGAGACCAGTCCCGAGTAAACAAGTACATGACTATAACCGGCCCAAGGGGTCCGAAAGTCTGAGACACGGAAACCAGTCTCTATGGAGAGAAGGCTGATGGAAGGAGGCTGCGTGGGGAAGCGCAGGCCGGAGGCATCGGAGAGACAGGGGTGGGGTCTGGGTGTGATGCAGATGTTGGCCAACCCTGTGTGGCAACGGCTGCCTGGGAAGGCACAGCTGGAAGCTCGTCCACTCGGGCACCTTAAATCCACATTCTTTATGTCTGTCTGCCAACTGTACTTCCGTAAAGATGTGTCAAAAAAAAAAAAAAAAAATGTAAGACCAGAGAGCGCGTCGACCACAAACCAGTTACGTGAGCACGTGACTGGGAGCTCTTTCCTATGAGCCAGAGCGAAGAGAACTGGTTTTTGGCACCTGGACCGCTTCCGTGACTGGGTGCCGAGCCAAGGGGAAGGGCAAGACTGTGAGGAGGGAATTCGAGAAGTTTCTCCCAAGTTTTTGTGTTTTTTTTTTGAGACAAGATCTCACTGTGTCACCCAGGCTGGCCTCAAACACGCAGAGATCCACCGCCCTCTGCCTCCCGAGGGCTTGGAGAAAGCCATTTAAGACGATGCTCCCTCAAACTTTTTGTCCAGAAATAAATAAATAAATAAATAAATGCCTGGCAGCCACTTCCACGCATAACCTTTGACCCCCAGGAAGTCACAAGGCATCAGGTCAGGGGCTTTAACGTGCCAGCGGCAGGGCTGACAGGATTCTGACGTTCTTTCCCTGGACCTGGCGTTGCCACAAGCTTCTCCTAGCCGAGATGGTGAAAGGCACACTTACCTTTCCTCTCCTTTCTCCGGGGAGCTCACCACCCAGCAGGGCACACTTCTCGTACCCGACCTCACTGCTCGAAGGCGACCGTGAGAACCTGGGACAGAGACGGGAGTTACTCACACGGACCAGAGTGACATGTCTTGACTCCCCGAAGCCCACACCGTCCTCGGCTTGGGGCCCAGGAAGGCAGAAGCCTGGCCACCTGCCCAACTTCCTCTGAGAAAGGACATGTCATTTAGAGTCACAGAAGGCACAGGGACCTGGCGGGAAGGAAGGGCGTCGTACCTTAAGCAGAGCATGTCTGCGTAGAAAGAACCCCCCCCCCGCCACCAGGGAGAAGCAGCAGGTGCCTGGGTGCTGCTCCCAGCTCCAACTCCTTGTGGGAGCCCGGGTGGCCTGTGGCCTCACCTGAGCCTCCATTTCCTCATCTATAAAGCAGGGATAATTAACGCCTACCACCCTCTTTTATAGGGCAGACATAAGAGGCAAGCCATGACCCTAATAACTCTGTGAAGGCGTGTAGGGAAGACTGAAGAAGCCCCAGGCGGGATAATTACTGGTTCTCCTTAGCGACTGTGGGCACAACACTCACCCACCGCTGAGGAGCAGCCACGAGACCTGAGACCCAAGACCCGGGGGCGGTGGGTCGTCATGTAGAGACACAGGCTTGCTTCTGCCTCTCAGTATGCCTAGTCAATCTCCCTCCCTGGGCCTCAGTTTCCCTACTTACAAAGGGATCGGAGGAGGGGATTCGAATCTTTCCATCCCCATCATGCTTTTATAGCACATGCCTGAACATGAGGCACGAAGGGTCTATACCGTGTTTAGGGTTCAGGGCTGGGGGCTTGGGAATAAAGAGAAAGAAGAAAAGAAAAAAGAGAGAATGGGGTGGGTGGGTTTCCAAAACATTTGAACTTGATCCCCACCAGGCAATCCATACTGCTGGGAGGCCATGAGTGTTCCTAATCTCAGAGACTCAGTTTCCCCGTCTGTCACATAATCACACGGCTCCTCCCAGGCACCCGGACAGCACAGTGAGACCCTGGGCACCTCTGCTGTTTTAACTTGGGAATGAATATCTTTTCCACAATCTTCCCAACATACAATCCCTCTCAGTGAACCGGCATCCCTGGGGAGGGGTGTGAGACGGCTCCTCGGGTAAAGGCATTTGCTGCCGAGTCTGAGGACCTGGGTTTGGTTCTCTGGGCCCTTAGCATTAACGCTGGCCCCTGGCTGCACCAGCTCCCAGGGCCTCGAGTCCAGCCTGGTGGGAGCATGCAGGCAGTGAGCAGGGCACTGAGGAGAGGGGGTGGATCGTGCCTGGTGACATCTCCCTGCTGCGGCCCCAGTGGAAAACAACAAGGCTGGAGGCCTGGGAGGTGTGGTGCACCAAGTGTTGGCCTTAACCTGAGCTGCGGACTCTGCGCTCCGAGGGCTCCTCCATGGAGGACGCTGCCCACATTCTTTCTAGAGTTTCTTCTCCCTATCTTTGAGGAAGGTCCTGGTGGGACTCTGGTTCTAATTTCAGCTCTATGGAGGTAGAATCGAGAGGATAGGGAGTTCAGGGTCATCCTAAGCTACTTAGAGAATCTGAGATAGCCTGGGCTACATTAGACAGTGGCCCTGGTCATCTGGGCTCTGTGAGTTTTATTTTTCAATACATCCATGGAGGCAGAGGTCTAATCTCTCTCTCTCTCTTTCTCTCTCTCTCTCTCTCTCTCTCTCTCTCTCTCTCTCTCTCTCTCTCTCTCTCTTTCTGTGTGTGTGTGTGTGTGTGTGATGCCACTGAGGCACACACCAACCGTGCTCTGATCTACAAGGGCAGTCTGACCCTGGGGGCAGCTTAGTCACAGAACCAGGCTGCGCTGGAACTGATTGGGACTCCCCAGCTCTGGCTTCACCACAGCGTCTCACCTTCTCACACACACCTGTGAAACAGGAACCTCATTTCCCACCGTGCTCCTACGGTGAGTACCAACTAAGCCCAGCACTAGGGATGTCCCACCCTCATCTACGTGCCTTGTCTGAGAGGCATCCTTACCGTCACCTCCCCTCAGGGCAATGGGTGGGGTATGTGTGTAGGTATTGGGCTAGCCTTGGGTTTATATGTAAGTTTTGGGCTAGCCTTGGGTTTGTAAGTGTTGGGCTAGCCTTGGGTTTGTGTGTATAGGTGTTGGGCTAGCCTTGGGCTTGTGTGTGTGTAGGTGTTGGGCTAGCCTTGAGCTCTCCAGTGGGTGTTGAGGAAGCCTGAGGTTGAAGAGGTTCTGGGATGTGTCCACTTACGGTTTGGTCAGATCCATAGACAATGGCCGTGCCTGGGACGTCCTTCTCCTGACCTCTGGCTTCGCCCCTGCGCTTTCCACAGTCCAGCCTTTGATCCGAGCCTGAACACTCACACCAGCTCTCTCAGGCTCTGGCACTGTGGATGGGGACTCAGGGGTCACAGGGGAGGGCTCAGACACCACTGCCAAGGCCACAGCGCTCTCTTCCTCAAACAGACTGAGGCGCTTCCTGATGCTCCCTACAGATTTCCTCTCTGTCCCTGCAGGAGCCTCCTGGTCAGATCCTCCAGCCTTGACCTCGGCCAGCCCCAGGCCTCTTCCTGGCTTGGGCAAAGGGGATTCTGGCACCTTCTCTGACTGCTGGTCTGGCCTTTCCTCTTCCTGGGGACTCTGATCATCTCCAGGGATGGCCCTGGCCCTTGGAGTCCTGGGACTGTCTGCATCTGCCTGCTTAAGAATGGCCTTCTCCCTCCGTGCATGGAGCTTCTTGGCCACCTCCTGGAAGTCTGAGTCAGGGTCCTGAGGGGTGGCGTCCACGCGGGCAGGGCCCTCTGCATCACCCTTGGGTTCCAGGCTGGTCCTGGTCTTCTCCGGGCCCTGGCTCTCTGCTGCATTCTGCTCACTGCCCACCTTCCTCAGCAACATCTCTCTGTTCTCAAACACAGCAGTCAGGTCCACAGACAGAGGCCTGGGTTTCCTCACCCACGTCTTCTCTGGAGGTGTAGGGGGGACTTTGCCCGTGACTGCCACTCCACCTGGGCCTGGCTTCGGGGGCTGCAGGTACTCGCTGAACACTGCTGACATGGGCCGTCTCTTCAGGTGAGGCTTGGCCTCTGGGGCCTGGCCAGCGGGGTCCTCCACACTGTGGGCCTTTGGCAAAGGTTGGGCTCGGCCTGCCTCCTCCTGGGACACAGGAGACCCAGCGTCCTGTGACAGGGAGGTGGGTCGGGGCAGAGTCACCGGGGGCTTTCGAGCGGGGAGGGCAGGCTTGGTGGCCACCTCAGGCCTGGCACTTAAGGGAGATGCCTGGGCTGCCCGGGAGCTGGCCTCCCGGCTCCCCTCACTGGTTCCTTTGCCCAGGCTGGGTCCGGCTTTGGTTGTTTCAAAGATGCCCATGGTGCTGGGGCCAGCCCTCAGGAACGTGGCCTTGTTAGGTACAGACGGGCCATTCGGCAGGGCCTCCCCTCTGTCTGCCTCCTGGCCGGCTAAGCTCGGCATCCTTTTAACCACGTCCTCTTTAGCTTCCTTCTTGTCAGCCTCAGTCGAAGGACAGGACTGGGTGGCACCAGGCCACGAAGATGTGGCAGGAGCCTTCTTCTCAGGGACCTGCTCCTTAAGGAAAGGCTTGGGAGCAAGGGGCAGAGGGAACAGGTGGGTCCGTAGGGGGCTTTTCGCTCTTAGGATCCTAGTGGAGGGAGCCCCGGAGGCGTCCCCAGTCTGGCAAAAGTAGGTCCTCTTCAGGGCTTCCTCCCTGCTGATGTCACGGAGGCCCGGCCCCGCCCTCAGGGATGCGATGGAGCCAACTTCGACCCGCGTCACCATGGTTACGGATGTAGCTCCATGAGGATTAAGCACATCAGAAATGAAGAAGCGACTGCTTAAAAAAAAAAAAAATTTAAAACAGTAAATTTAGTAAAGAGTATTTGTGGGACTCGGGGGGGGGGATCTGGGGGGAGGAGACTGAGAGACCTTAGTCCCAGAGCCCCAGATCCTGAGTTCACTGGGCAAAGCTCCAGATGCACTGTCACCTTGCTGGGCCCTGGAAAGGCACAGACCGCAACCTCCTGTTCAGAGGGGTCAGGCACCCTGCAGTCTGAGGCCTTGCCTGGCTCAGCCAGTCTCGGGGCTAGCTCCGGTGGACCCAGCATGAGCCTGGGCTGAGCACCCACCCAGCCCAGAGAGGGTAAGTAACCACCCTCAGCTCACACAGCCACCCAGAGCAGGAGACCCTGGAATCACACCTGGGAAGTGGCCATGGAGCCCTGCCAGCTGCCCTTCCCCCATCTCCCCCGCATGCCAATAAAAGCCAAGCCTCGGGTTTTTATTTTGTCTCGTTGTTTTATTTTTCCCTAGACCTACTGTTGCCTGTTTGCTGTTGGTTTGGCTGTTGAACAAGTGTTTGTGCAGGCTTCCTTGTTTGTTTTGGTTCTGCAGAGGTGAGAACGGAACCCAGGGCTTCATACATGCTGCACATGCTCCACGCTGAGCCAGGCCCAGCCCCTTACAGTCTTAACAAGAGGGGTGATGGCTGGGATGAGGGCTCATTGTGAGAGGCCTAGCTGTGCCAGTGCATCTGGTCTCTCCATGTACCCGTCCACCCTGCAGGCCGGTCTCACTTCCCAGTGGCCAGGACGCCCCTGGCCTGACTTGCTCAGCTTTGAGATCTGCTCTCAAAGGCAGGACATCCCCCCGCCCACCCCCTGAATCCTCCAGCAGCTCAGAGAGGTGGGAATGATGGACCTTGTGCTTCCTGGAGTGGAAGAAAAATGGGCCCAGAAGTCCCCAACTGGTTTCACTCAGCTAGAACCAGACCTCCCATCCTGGCCCATTATGCCCTGTCTTTGTTTTGTTTGTTTGTTTGTTTTGAGACAGGGTCTCAGGTAGTCAAGGCTGACCTGGAATTCCCTACCTAGCCCAGGATGACCTTGAGTTCCCACTCCTCCCACCTCCACCCACCAGGTGCTGTGATTACAGGTGTGTGACACTCCACTGGGCTTCAGCCCTGCCTCTTTAAAACCCAGCTTTTTATTTCTTTCTGATCCTAAAAAGCATCCTGTGAGTCTCTCTGCTCTTGGCTCACCCTGCTTCGGCTATGACAGCCGTCCCTTCCTAAGTGCCCCAGAGATGGCCCAGCCCTCCAGGTGCTGACAAGGGAGACAGTGTCCTGACCTCCCAGGCCTTGTGCGGCTCCTTCATGGCAAGAGGTAAAGGCAGACGGACGGATTTTGGCATTTTTCTCTTTGTCACACACCCCATGGGCTAACATATTCCAGCTCCCAAACGGTGAACATTGTCTCCACTCAGCTAGGGGCAGCATGGAGATCTGGGAGACCCAGGAGCCTGATGTTTTCCATCGGAACAGTCCCCAGACAGAGCTCTACAGTCCCCATTCCCACCCCAAACCAGGGACGCTCACTTCAGAGTCACAGTGGTCTCTCAATCTGCAGCTCACACCCAGCCAGGACCTGGGACACTGACAGTGCACAAAGGACAGACAGAAAACTCCCCGGCAACCTCACCTTCCAAACACCCAGCCCCCAGCTCAGCACCCACTTACCCAGGCTGTCAGGTCCCAGGCGAGGGACACAGGTCCACCGGGGTGTGCCAGCAGGGTCACAGTTCATGGTGAAGGGGCCGTCCACTCACGCCCATAGCGGAAGTGGCAGGGAGAAGAAGGCTGTGCCCACAGGCTGTCTCTGCAGGGCTGGGGAGACACAGAAAGACAGCTTGGTTCTGGAGTTCCTTCCGCACAGACGGTGCAAAAGCGTTCGGGTTCCAACTGCATCCGCTGGCGTCTCCTCCAGCTCTGAGACTCACACTGCTTTCAGCTTTATGTATTCACGCACAGTGTGCACAGAGTGTTGGGTCCACGCAGGTGCTCAGTAAATACCTCCCCTGCTCCTCAGACACATATTTACTTGAGCACCTACTGTGTGCACTAATATGAACTAGAGACCCCCTACAACCATGGAACTCAGTTTTGTGTGTGACACACTCATGCACACACATTCATGAACATACATTCATGCATGAACACATATATTAATTCACCTACTCATACACCCACCCACACACCCACACACTGACACACTCATTAATGAACACATATACTCATTCACATACTCATACACCCACACACACACTGATACACTCATGCACACACACTGACACACTCATACACACACATTCATGAATACACACTCATGCATGAACACATACTCACACAGTCATGCACACGAACTGGCACCCTCATGCACACACTCATTAATGAACACATATACTCATTCACATACTCATACCCCTACACACACTGACACACTCATGCACACACTCATGCATGAACACTCACACACTCATGCACACACAAGCAGCTGTAACACTGCATAGGAAGATCAGAGGTCTATAATGGGATGGGGAGCCTATGACTGGGGGTGGGGGTGGATGGAGTCCCACTAACCCAAAGACTGGTGCCAATGTTCTCAACCTGCGGAAGGTAGCTGCTAAACACTCAAGGTGTCTACAGCCATGCATGGCAGCACCCGCCTGCCATCCCAGTATTTGGGGAAGTGGAGACAAAAGGATCAGGAATGTACAGCCAGCCAGGCTACAGCAGAGACCCTTTCTCAGCATCTACACACTGAAGCCCTTGGAAGCTCTCAGAAGCCTCCTCAGGGCCTTTGCACATGCTGGGCCGTATCTTTGGGATATGCCTCTTGCTCACACACAGATGCAAACCTTGAGCCCACCCCTTGGGCTGCATTTCAGACATGCCTGGCCCCACGTGTGTGCTTGCAGAGCACTACAGACACCAGGAAGTCCACAGGACTTGCTGCTGGACAGCCACATTGACAAGGACATGATCCTCACTCTACATTCAGTAGCAAGCTCCCAGGGCACCCCATCCCCTGCACAACAGCTGGTCACAAAACAGCATGTAGTGGATAGCCATTGGATACATAAATAGTTGCTGAATGAATAAATGAAAGGAGATAGTCTTCTGACCCCGATCCCCACTATTCTAAGAGGACAGCTAAGTCCCAATGTGGGTTCTTGCAGCAGTCGGGGCCTTGGAATCCCAGTGCTCACTGAACACTCACCAACTCATCAAGAGCCCATGGGCGCCCTCCCTAGGGTGGACACTGCATACACCTACAGTGACCACAGCCATCTCATAGCCGTGGCAGCATGACAAGGCTCACGTGGACACAATGTGCCTCTTCATGGTTTTAAGAGGAAGAGTGTCACCAGGGCAGCCAACGGCACACAAATGTCAGCCACTGGGGGAGCCCTAAGCCAGCCCCGGAGGCCACGATTCAGTCACCATCTCCAGTTCACATACACACTTGCACCAAGGAACAATGACTTGGTGAACAGATCCACGAGCCAAGAACTTTTGAAACCATGGTGGGGGGGGGGGGGGGTGCCTAAATCATCATGCCCAACCCTAGAAGCCCGGGATTCTCTGGTTTTTCACTGGACCTGTTGTCAATGGCAAGGAGCCCATTGAGATGCTTTTAAACCCAGCTCCAAACACATCGCATATGCTACGCCCAATTTGAGAGGGCAGTCTCTTCCAGAACACAACCGAAGCAGGCCCACTTGCACCGAACCAGCTGCTATTTATTCCTGGGGTGGCCTCGCTCACTCTGTGGAAGCGCAGAATTGATACACGCCATGAGTAAAGCCAGGTAGCTAAGAGGTCCTTAGAAAAAGGAGGCCGAGTCTAAACAGGCCTGGTCTGGTCGTGTGTGTGTGTGTGTGTGTGTGTGTGTGTGTGTGTGTGTGTGTGCGCGCGCGCGCGCACTAATTGACTGGCTGGTTGATTTCACAGGACAGAGGATTGCATTCAGGGTCTTCTGCATGCTAAGTAAGGGCTCTCCCCGTCGCTGGTTCATACATGATCATGGAAATCACGGGACACAGGCAGATGACAGGGATCCTCCGGGAGTCGGGAGGCTGGCTGCAGGAGGAGGACAGGGATCAAGGCGGCCCCAAGCGGAGCTGCAGCAGAGACTAGCGGGGGGGGGGGGGGGGGGGGGGGGGGGGGGGCCTCAGCTATTGCTGAACCTGGGAGACATGGGCTTTGGTCTCTCCCTGGGGAACTTCACATCCCCACTCCCTGCTGCTACGCGGGGGGGGGGGGGGGGGGGGGGACCACTGGTGGGAGGTCCAGTCCAGCCACACCCCAGTGCAGGAAATGAGACAAAAGTGCCTGGGAAGTGCTCTGGGGGACATCCGTGGGACCCTCCCTGCAGAGCCCAGCACTCTGCGGCCTGGGCTGGGGCTGTGCAAGCTCCCCGTTCAAAACCAGAGCTTAGCACAGAGAGGCTCGGCTCCCAGACTAGGGGCCTTGATTCATCACGGCAGCTGCTGCTGTTCTGCGTCACACCGCCTTCAAATGGGTCTGGATGCTCACCAGGCATTTGCTGCGCCATCTCCGTGCCCGAGTCCTGGGAATGCCACCATCTGGCAAGGGATGTGGGCTAGGACTGGCACCTTTTCGGCATCTCCCACAACATGATCTCGACCCCGGAATCTGCAAAGCCACCCTGAGCAAACCCCATCACTGCGGGAAGAGCCACGAAGGGACTGCCTAATGTCCTCTCCACGGAGCAGGGCTGCGGGGCACACAGATCTGTCCACCACAGACCCCAGGTCGCCGGCGGCGGCTCACAGTCATTGGGTCAGATGTCACTGGAGTACGTCCATTCTTTCCCGGGTCCCCACAATGGCAGCCTCATGCCACCCGCCCCTGTGCAGGTAGCAAGCACCTACTCTAGGACACGGGCTGATGGTTACACACACACACATACACACACACACACCTCACAGCCGAGCTTCCCTGGTCCTGCCTCCGGAGCTTGTTTCAAGTATCAGTCAGTTCGTGTTGAGTATCGAATGCAGGCTTATTTTATGGACTGTGCTTGGCTCCTCTTGTGACCCAAGCTGGCTGGGTCCTGTGGTCTGTGGAAGCTGCTAGGAAGAGTATGGTCTACATGCCACCAGCCCAGGGTAGAGCAGAATTCAAAATGTGAAGTATGGCTTCTGACACAGTGCAGATCCTGCACTGTGGGGCAGCCGAGGAATCACAGGTCCATCTGTCCTGAGTAGGGACTGTCTGTTAGAGCCACACTCTCCTGCAAGCAATGGCTGCCCAGTGCCCCTACGCTGGCCTCTAGTGACATCAGACTACGCTGGCCTCTAGTGACTCCCCCCGTGTGTCATCCCTTACTGGACATTTGATATCAGTGGGAGTCTGTGTCCCCCTGCCCCATATCTTTCTCTCAGCTTCTCTCCAGACAGGACCTGGCTCCCGGGCTCTTCTCTGTGGCCCAGGACAGCCCCTCCTGCCTCTAGTCTCTGACCTGAGAGGTAGGGTCCGGGACCCTTGATGAGTACTGCCACTCAGACTCAGCTCACCAGCTCACTGCGGCAGGCATGTCCCAGCACTGGCCAGCTTCCTGGATCCCAGACTTGGTTCTGAATCTCCCTGACAGAAAAGGCGCTCACTTACGGGAGCCAGATGAAAATCGTACTCAGCAGCTGCCTAGATGCAGGGGAAGCGGAGTTTCCAGGCAGCATGTCCTGTGTCCCTCTGTAGACATCCGCAGGGTTTCACTATCCCAAGTGCCCCATCCCTGGATCCCCCTCTGCTCCAGCTCCCCTGGGCCCTCGGCCTACAGTCCTACCCACAAAAGAATGACAGGGACAGCTACAGAAAGGGTTTGAAGAGTTCACAAGTGGCCCCCAGTGACGTGCAGGATGGGACTATTCTCCACAGTCCCTCAAAGATCGAAGCAAACCATGAGACACCCCCCCCCCCCCGCCAGCTGTGCATCTGAAGTGTTACAATCCATCCCTACCCCCTGTCAGTAAACATCCGCCTTTTCAAGCTCCACGGCCAGTTCCTTCCTATAATTTTGTGCTATTTTGGGACACCACAGCCACCCGAGAACCCAGTCATCAAGCAGCCTTCGACCCCTCTTGCTTTTCTCTAGATTGGGGTTGGCAAACTACAGTATGGAAGCTAAGCCGGCCCTCTGCCTGGCTTTGCAAATAAAGTTTTATTGAGCCCAGACACTGAAGCCTCCTTTGGGAGCCACTGTCTGTGGCTCTGGGTAACAGCTCACCAGGGAAGAAAATGAGACATTTACTGTCATCCTCTACAGAACAAATGACTCTGAGGTGTGTACAGGGGTCCCCTCAGACACTGGGTTCCCAGGGCCAAGACTACTCTGATGGCTCTGGTAACATTGCCGGCTTCTTCCTAGGGCCTCTTCCAGGTCCACCTGAGGACTGTGAAACATGCTATTCCAACCAGCTGAACATGTGGGATTTCTGCTTGCTTTTTGAGACAGGGTCTCACGTGGCTGACCTCAGATTCACTGTGTAATCAAGGATGACCGTGGGCTCCTGATGCCCCTGATTACAGTGTGATCACACTGAGTGCTACAGATCAAACCCGGGGCCTTGAGCATGTTAGGCAAGCACTCTACCGGCCAAGCCATACCCCAGCCCAGCAAGTTTGGTTTGTCTTTTAAATTATTTGTGGATGAGAGTGTGCACACTCGTGTGCCACAGCATTCGCACAGAGGTCAGAGGACAGCTCTCTGGGCTTAGTTCTCTCCTCCTACCATGGGATAGACCGGACTCGGGTTGTCAGGCTTGTGCGGCAAGTCCTTTGACCTGCTGAGCCATCTCACC